GAAGGTGTGACAGATGGGAGGTGTTGGTACATGCAGGCTGCCAGGGGGGTCATATCATTCATGCAGCGGCATGTTTCCCAAAGAGTGGAATCTGAGGCAAATGTATGCAGTTTAGGAAACACCATTGCCAGGGATCAGGGCCCTCCAGAGTCCTCTAGAGCCAGGCCAAACTGGACTCAAGCCATCCAGCTGTGTGTTGCTCAAGCCAGTTCATAGCCCCTGTGTGCCTTAGGCTCGGTCTCCTCAGGTGGGTGAATTACTTGATGTGGGTGAAGTGTTGAGCTCAGGATCTACATATAGGGAAACCGAGAAGCAGAGATCGGCTGCAAGCCACATGGGGCAGAATGAAGGGCACCTGGCAGGAAACCTCGGGGTCTCAAGCCTCCCTCTTCCCATCAACCCCAGGGCCAGTGTCAGTGGCGGCAGCCCCCAGGAAAGGAGATCTACCGCAAGAGCAACATCTCTGTGTACGAGGTGGATGGCAAAGACCACAAGGTGAGCTGGGTGGTCATGGTGCTGGGTGTGGGAGGTGGGAGCACTGGCACCGCTGGACAGCCTTCACTGTCATCAGGACAGAGGCCAGCCTTAGGGTGAGCAGCTCCACCAGGAAGAGGCCTGAGGGGTCACACGCGGCCTGGCACTTGGCCTGTGGCTGGTGCTTGGTCAACATGGGGGCCTGCCGTGCCAGCCTTGGGGACTGGTGCTCCTTCTCTCCCCAAGGACTTTTCTGCTGATGGGGTAGTTGAGGTTTGAAGTGAAGATTGTTGTGCCTGAGGCTGTCTCTAGAAGGCTTTCTCTTTCTGCCTGAAGAAAAGGTGTTTGGTTTTCCCCAGGAGGGACCTGCTTTGTGTAAGGGTTCCTGCCCAGAGCTCTGTGGCTCTGTTGGCCCAGTTCCTTGTTCCTGGTGAACGGACTTGAATGGGGCAGGGTGGGGCATTGGGCTCTGCTTTCCTGTTGAGAACCTGGCCTTTGCCTGGTCAGTCTGGGAAGGTTGCACCAAATGTCCCATTTCCCGTGGAAGGGCAGTTAATGAAGACAAACTTTGAGTGGCTCCTGGCTTCAGATGACCCCATCACTTCCTATCTGACCTTAGACAAATTACTTAACATTGTTTGTTCCTGTTTCCTCATCTGTACGACGGGAGTCATGACCATATTTACCTAATAGGGCTGTTGGTGGAATAACTGAGATAGCAATGTCACATACTTAGCACGGTACTTGGCACCAAGTAGGTGCTTAGTAATGGGCCTTCGTTATTACTGGTGACCGGTGGTGGCTCAGTCAGCCTTGTGATAATTGCTTGGGGAAGGAATATCCACACTGAGCCTTGCCCGCTGCTCTGCCTTGAGCAGCAACAGGGGGAGTGGCAGAAAGGGCTCTATAGGAGACATGGGTATTCCATGGCTCTACCCTCTGCCAGCTTTGAGGTCTCAGACAAGCACTTCCCCTCCCAGAGCCTCAGTTTTCTTTTAAGTAAATGGGACTAGCCATGCTGGGCTTACACAGTTGTCAGGTCAAATGAGAGTGGATATAAAAGGTGTCATACACCAGAGGGACCCTTGATCTGTGCCATGAAGCCAACCTGAAGGTCCCATTGTTCCTCCTGATGTTGGTCTCTGGCGGGGTGGGTGTCTGGGCCTGCAGCAGGTGAGGCTCAGAGAAGAGCATGGCCAAGCGGGCAGACTGCAGGCTGCGGAGTCAGGCTCGAGGCCCTCCACTCAGCAAATGTTTAACAAGCACTTGGCTTCATGCTTAGCCTTGTGCTCGGTGCTGGGGACATAGCCTTGAATAACACGGGCTTGAACTGCGTATGCCCACTTAGCTGCGGAAATCCTGTGCTACTGTTCTGGTGAGTGGGCACTTCCCACCGGCCTGGCACGGGCTGTTCTGTGGAGCCTGGCATTTGCAGAGCAGGGTGGCAGCTCCTGTCCAGGCCTCAATGGGCTCATTGTACTTGCTTCCTGAGTCTTCTGCCTCTCCTACCCCTCAGATTTACTGTCAGAACCTGTGTCTTCTGGCCAAGCTTTTCCTGGACCACAAAACATTGTACTTCGACGTGGAGCCCTTCGTCTTTTATATCTTGACTGAGGTCGACAGGCAGGGGGCCCACATCGTCGGCTACTTCTCAAAGGTACTGGGTCGGGAAGCCGAGGTTGAGGGAGGGCAGTGAGTATGAACTGGAGCAGGGGCCGAGCTCCCCCAGAGTCCTGACCTCGCCCCTGCAGGAGAAGGAGTCTCCAGATGGAAACAATGTGGCCTGCATCCTGACCCTGCCTCCCTACCAGCGCCGCGGCTACGGAAAGTTCCTCATTGCTTTCAGTGAGTGGCTCCTGCTCTGTCCAGCAAGGGGCCCCTGTGGTGGAGGCAGAGTACTAAGGTGGGGTGGGTTTTCAGGACCTTCTGTCTCCCCCTGCCAGGTTATGAGCTATCCAAGCTAGAGAGCACAGTAGGCTCCCCTGAGAAGCCACTGTCCGACCTGGGCAAGCTCAGCTACCGCAGCTACTGGTCTTGGGTCCTGCTGGAGATTCTGCGAGACTTCCGTGGCACGCTGTCCATCAAGGACCTGAGGTGAGGGCCCTGGACCCCAGCCCTGTCATCTCATGAGGGAGGCTTCCTGGAGTTCTCCAAGAGGGAAGGGTTCTCCTAAGATTGGCCATGATCCTGTCTCCTTGTCCCCTTTTGCTGTCCCAGCCAGACCCCACAAGGGACCTCTCCCAGCATCTGCTCCAATCCCTTTCTGCAGCCAGATGACCAGCATCACTCAGAATGACATCATCAGCACCTTACAGTCCCTCAACATGGTCAAGTACTGGAAAGGCCAGCATGTCATCTGTGTCACACCCAAGCTAGTAGAGGAGCACCTCAAAAGTGCTCAGTATAAGAAACCACCCATAACAGGTAGGTGGGGGGCTCCTGCATGTGTGTGGTAGGGGGTAGGTGTAAGGACAGCTGGGAGCCATAGCCTCCTTTTGCTGTCGCATGATCCTAAACCAGTCTGACCAGCTTCCAGGACCAAAGCCTGGGGCAGGCTACTCATGCCTGGGCTTCCCTGCCCCCTCCCCAGGATCAAGTCTGCCCTTGTTCTCACCTGGCGAAACCTGGCCTAGGCCCAGAGGCCCAACCCTGCCTCTCATGTCTCTTCTCCCCACAGTGGACTCTCTTTGCCTCAAGTGGGCACCCCCCAAGCACAAGCAAGTCAAACTTTCCAAGAAGTGAGTGGCGGTGCCCCTGCTGCTGGACCTGTGCCTCCTTCCCCCGCCTGTAAATATGTACAGCCTGTTTCATCATTTTTTAAAATAAAGTAAGTTCTGCCAGTGGCTCTGGACTTTGGAGGCGGGAAGAAAGGCCAAGAGCTGATGTTCTTCATGGCATGTCACACACACAGCCAGTTATGCTCAAAACATTTTATTCCTTCTTGCTCCTTCTACCCTCTACCCCAGATCCAAGCTCGAGCCCAGTTCCGGTGGGGGCTCAGTCCTCCGGAGTCCAGAAATCAGGGCGCAGTGGGGGCTTGGCAGCCAATGGGGCAAGATTGGGGCCTTTTGTGTCCTTGGAAACATGCTGCTCAGAGGCAACTCCAACCCAGAAGACAACAGGAGGGCAAAGTGATGGGGCTCATCAGGCAGAGCACGTCGGGCACGGGAGCCAGCCCTTCAGCAGCAGTCAGCTGGGCAGCTTCCCAGTCTTCCAGAAACATAAGAGCCAGGGCCCATTTACTTAGCTAAGGCTCCTTGGGAGCTCCATAGGAGCCCAACCAATAGGCTTGTGGACAGCAGGTGGCCAGAGGTTCTAGCCCGTAGCACAGGCAGTAAAACTGGCTCTGGGTTAAAGTCCCAAAGAACAAATCCAGGAGTGTGGGCTCAAAGGTCATGATGGTGCCCTGAGCTCCTACAGGGTCCTGGGAGGAAGGAGTGACTAGAGCCTCAGGCCCAAACAGTGTCAAGGAGGGGCCAGATCCATTCCTGGGAACAGGCGTCTGTCCTTGTGTACAATAGGGCAGTTCTGGAAACAGGGTCAACCCCCAGGGTGAGTAGCTCAGTGCTCCCACCATGGCTAGAGGAGGCCCAGGATCAGGGCTAGTGATAGCAAAAGGGTGAGCCCCAGCAAACCCTGGCCTGGAGCAGAGCTGAAGGCCACGTGGTTTCTGCAGAGGTTGATGTCTGGCTGGGACTCCTGGAGGGGGGGGACCACCTGAGGCTGGAGCTCCGCTACATGGTGGTGAATCCAGGAGGCATAGCTGGAGGTCAGAGTGTACACGCCAGGCCTGTTGGGGGCCCCACAGGCATCACCCCAGCTCACAATGCCTGCCAGGTACCAGAGGCCCCCAGCAGGGCAGGAGAGTGGGCCCCCAGAATCACCCTGAGGAGAAAAGCCATACAACAGCTGTCAGGACCAGGCCCCAGGCCTCGAGTACCCATGCCAGCCCTCATTTCCCCAGATTCATTTGTCCCACTGGACCCCTTGCATTTACCTGGCAGGCATCCTTGCCCCCCTCTACATAGCCAGCACACACCATGTCCTGCTGGATAGAGTGGGGCTCATTAGGCTTGGCATTGATGTTGTACAAGCAGTTACATGTCTCCCGACTGATCAGTGGCACCTCAAGTTGCTGTAGTATCCTGGGGGCCTGGAGGCTCACTGTGGGGGCAAAAGATGCTTAGTCAGGGCCTCCGACCCTGAGTCAGGCTCCCTTCTGCCTCTAGACATCAGTGCCCACCTCACCTGAGGGGGCCACGTGGCCCCATCCAGTGACAGTGCATTGGAGGCCATTGGGGAAGGAGGCGTTGGCTGCAGGGAGGCAGATGGGCCGGATGTAGCGGGAGAAGGTGATGGGGCTGCTGAGACGGAGGAGTGCAATGTCCCCCTGGGAGCCCTCATGGCGGTAGCTGGGGTGGGAAATGACCTTTTCCACAGTGCGAACCTCGGCCGCAGGGGTGTAGGAGTCCAGCTGGTGGGCCCCTAGCTTTACTTCGTAGTCATCCTTGTGGTGCTCCCTGCAAACAGGGAGGACAAGGGCTGGGACCCAGGAGACCTGGCTCCTTGATCCCTGTGGCATCCAACCCCAGATTCTGATCCCAGCAAAGGACTTTTTGCATCCCAAACTGTGCCCTAGTTTTACCCTGTGACTTGTGACCTCTGACCTTCATTCCTGACTTATCTTTCAGATTTCATTGATAACCCTAGACCCAATCCAAGAACCCCAACCTCTTATCTAAACTGATCCCTGAACTTTGACCTCCAGACTACTTTTGGCATCCCCACCTTGCCCCAACCCAGTTGGTACCTTGGAAAGCAGTGGGCAGCCGACAGTACCCACTGCTCAGACACGAGAGAACCGCCACACACGTGAATGCCATCAAAGAGGATGCTGACCTGCCAGGGCCACTGGCCAGGGGTTGCACTGTTACCACCTGTGATGCGTGCTTGGGAGGCCACACCGCAAAAGGCTGCCCAGGGAGGGAGGAAGGGGAGGGGGTCAGGCCCTTCTGGGTCCCCCATACCTTGTTCTTAGCCCTGCCACTCCCAATGAAGCCCAGGAGATCTGGTTTGGAGCCTGGGAAGTGAGTTCACAGAAGCCGGCCACCCTTTTGTCCCCATCTCACTGCTTACCAGGCACGGTCAGTTTTGCCACCTTGACTCATTCCCTCATTCAGGTCTCTTACAGCTTCCTAGCTTCCTTCCTTCCTTCCTTCCAGGACTTTGCCTCCTATCCAATCCAGCCCTTATAAGTCTGAAGACCTTTATAAACAAGAAATCTGGCCAGGTGACACCCCCTTAAATCCTTCCCTGACTTCACACTGCCCTTAAGATATATCCCAGACCTCCCATGACAGTGCCATCCACCTGGACACTTCCTGTCATAGACTTGGAAGCACTTATTCACCTATGGAACTTCGCTCTTCAAGGTCACTACCTAGGATTCCTTTCCTCAGCCCTACTTTGCTCGGCAAATTTCCATTTGCCTATGGCAGCCCCTCCTTGGCCTGCCCTGACCTGCTGCCTGAGTCAGGCGGTGCACAGAGCTCCCAGGGCTGCTTCCCTGATACTGCCCCGTCACCACTGCTCCCTGTGCGTGCTTCACCACACAACCCGGCACTCCCACGGCCCCAGTGCCCAAAGATGGAGCTGTGGATGCGGCTAGTGAAGAAAGGAACAGAACAACTGGGCTCCCACCGCCTGAAGGCCACCCTACCCTCACTGAGGCTAGCAGTTTGGAACAAGACCCAGCTGCCCTTCACAAAGTCACCTTCCCAGGAGCAGAGAAAACTGCCCAGCCAGGCTCCTCCTCTCGTAATAATGACAATAGCTGCTATTTAGGAACTTTAAACAACGTGAGGCCCCGAAGGGGCTTTCACTTCCTTTATCTTCAGGACTGCTCACACAGCCCCAGGAGATAAACTCAATCAGCTTCATTTAGAGCTGAGCAGTGAGCCAAGCACACAGCAGTAAGTGGTGAAGCCGGGGCTCAGAGCTGGTGACCTGCCTTTGAAGGAAGGAGACCTTTGGTTTGTTTCCACAAAACAACTCCGGCTCTTACAGGCTGTGCCACTCACTGGCTGTGCGCCTTCGGGCACATCACTTCTCTGCACTTCGGTTTCTTTATCTGTAGAACTCGGGCTACCATCCCCGTCTCACAGAGCTATTGTGGGACTTAAGACATTAAGGTGCGTGAGACAGCCTGGCAGAGAGAGGTCAGGCACTCATTAAACACGCCATGGGAATCTGAGTCTGTGTCCCCTCTTCTTCCTCTCCCCCT